CTTTTTTTCATTTTATTATTGCTTGTTGTTTCTCTTTCACATTCCTTCATTCTCGTCCTCCATCGATTTCACCATTGTTCTCTATTGCCATTATTTTTCACTCTTACGTCATAATCTATCGCCTATCGCCAAAATTTACATATGTGAGTTGAACACGACTTGCTTTTGTGTTTAATTTTACATGTGTATTTAAAATATTTTACATGTGTTTATTGTTACATTTAATTTTATCGAATATTAATTAATTTAATGTTAACGTGCATGATAAAAGTACAATGAGCGTAACAATTTCAAATAGATTAAGGTTGTTAGAGGCTTTAAATTTGTTGAGGATTAGAGTTAGCTCACACGAGGATGGTGAGAAGCTTTGTATGGTGATTTTATCTATGTGTTAGAGATCCTCATGTTGCATCAAAGTCCTCTTGTATTTATAGTCTCGCATGGGCCTTAGATCGAGCGAACTGAGTCTTCCCACAATCCTCATGGGAGTGGGTGGTTAATATCTAGAAATCCATGAGAGAAGGTCTGGCCTTACATCTCTATGGGAATTGTTTGTTTACTCATTAGACATTATACCCACAATTACACCGTTGTACCCCAAAATTTACCCTCTCTTTTCTCAAGACATTTCTCACCAAAGATCTCAAATGCTCAAGGGTTCTCAAGGGTTTGATCAGATAAGCTCACCTCCTAAGCATTGAGCCTCCAAATTAGGGTTTTGATTTTCTCAAGGACAATTGGACTTTTGATGTCTCAAATTCCTTTCATGGTTCATTATAGGTCTTCAAGATTGCTCATACCAAGTTTCAAGCCTTGCACCACAAATTTGCTCAGTCAATTGCTCAGATGACTGAAAATCAACTGTATTGGGTAAAAAGTCAATTGTGGTCAATATATAGTCAAACTTCATGATTTTTGGCCAACATTAACATTTTGAAGTGATATTTATCAATTGACCAAGGGTTGATTACAATGCCTCAAGAAAAGCACTCAAATCATCAAAAAGGCAAAATTGTTAAAATTAGAGTTTTGACTGAGATTGACTGATCATTGACTTTTAACCAAGTACATGACCTAATGGCTTGAATCATGATCTCAAAGATTCAAACACAACATGTTTATCTAACTTCATGGCTCAAATCCTTTCTCAAGATTAATAGATTGATAGTTGAATTTTGGATCAACTGATGAAAAATCAACTGATACACAAAAAGTCAAACTTTGACTTTTTGATCAACATTGAATTTTAAAGATCAAGATTCATCAAGATACTAAAAAATATCAAACTTGATCGTCAAGAAAGCCAAGAAAGTTCACAGAAAGTCAAAGTTTTCAATACACATAAAATTCTTAAGTATTTTTAACCTTGATAATTTCAATACTTCATGACAATTTTTCACCAAGATGTAAGATGATTCAAGGAAAACTTTCAACATGAAAGTTGTAGATCTTAATAAATTCTACAATTTTGTCCCTTAGGGTTGATGTCCAAAAATGCTTAGATTTGAAGATATGGGCTCATGAAGTCATGACATTTTTCATAAAACACTTAATGAAATTTTCAACAAGTTTAGGCAGATTTTTGACCTAACTTCTTGACCAATTTCATCTAGTTCTAAGATGGTTTAGCCAAAGTGGTCAACATGAATGTTGCAGACAATGTTTCAAGCTTCCCAAAAGGCCCAAGAACTTGAAGAGATCATTTTTGAGCTAGGATATTCGAAGAGATGAAGTTGGGCATCCATTCTTGAATTACAAGTCATTTTCTTGATGAACGCATAATTTAATCTCAATGTTATGCTGCATAATCTTGCTTTGTAGGCCTTCTAACTTGTGTATTTACCTATAATTAATGGATTTCACAAACTTTTGAGCTATGATCCAAGTGGTTTAAGCATTGTCCAAGTCAATTTGCCATTTTGGGGAGAAAGTTAACATTGCCATTCTTGAAAAGTAAGCTTTATGCATAAAGTCAATTCTTGAGCCTCTCACTTATTCCCTTTGATCACACTCCATCTATAAGGTCAAAAGCATTATGATTAAAGTGTTTAACCACTCTATGATCAAAGGTACAAGGCATTGAAACTTGATTTTTCAAGAAAATCACATGTTGAGCTTAACATGTGATTTTGAATTATGACCAACTTGAACATTCCAAACCTCTTCTCTATAAATAGAGACGCTATTTACAAGCCAAGACACAAATTCAATAGACCTCAAACTCACTCAAACCCCCTAAAACTCATAATTGCACACAAACCTCCATTGTTGGCATTTCTGACCAAAAACTTCAAACACTCAAATCCCTCGTGCGTTTTCACTTCTAATAATTTACAAAGCATTTATACATCATAAACAACTCATCCCCACCCCTGTTTCACAACTGTAACATCATCTTCCTCATCTTCCTAACTCAAAAACTTAGCTTTGCAACTTGACTTCTCTAGCACGATTCAGGCACTTTCAGTACAAAGTAAGAGATGCATTAGCTTCCTAGGAGTCCAATGAAGCTATCCAGATCATCACCATACTTCCAGGGTTGCTCAAACTCCATACACGATTTCCAGTTTTGAGGTAAGTTTTCTCAACTTTGAACTTTTCATACAAGCACCATTAATGGTTACTTTGTGAATAAAAAATGTAGACATCATAGCCCTGAAGCTAACCATGCCTTTAGTTTTCATTTATGTTGCCTGAGTGATGTGAATTTTGAGTTGGAACTTTCTGAAAAAATTAGATTTAATCTGGTACAAACAGAAATTCATATTCATCTTTGATTTATAGCTTTAGTTATTTACATGCTTGAATTCATGGTGAAAAATGGAACAACTTTCATGTTTACAATTTTGAAAATAGTTGAGAAATGAAGAAGTTACAGTTTTGGCCATGGTGGTGTTCTTCACTGCGCGTGCAAGGTTGAAGATGAAGTCATTTTCAAATTCAGAAATGCGTTTATTTTATATTTATTACAATTTTTTTTATACACAGATGAAACAGCCACCCCAGTAGTAGAGGAAGCGCGCGTAAGGCATTGAACTATAGGGACCTGGGTTCGAGCTCCAGTGGTACCCTTTTATGTTTTTTTTCATGTTTTCCTTGCAGATTTAGTGCGTACGAGCTTAATACGCGCGCCATACACCCCCATTCCTTCACCACAGGATCTTCATAGAGTCTCATCCAATACACCACAAAGCAAGCGCATGGTATGCCTCAGAAAGCCAACCACATGGGATCACCAACAACGCTGGGCTTCCAGCACTTGGGCCTTTTTCTCTTTTTGTTTTTACTCATTCTCACCTCCATTTTACTTATACTCGGGCCCATTATTTATTTTTATTTCTCTGATTTCAAACAAAAAAGAAACAGGTTTGGGCCTGTTTGCTAACTTTTAACCCTCTTTTACTTTTCAACACCCCAACCCATTTCTTTTTATTTCTTTTTATATTTTCATTGTTTTATTTATTTATTTTATTTTATTTAACCAAAAATATAAAAATATATTTTCTTAAATAACTAAATTAAAAATATTTTAATTTAAACATTTATTTTATTTTTTGTTAATATTTAGAATTAGATTTTGCTTGTTTTCTATACTTTAAAATATTTTTCTAAATTAATATTAACGTTCAAATTATTTTCTAAACAAATTACTAGACTTACGTTTATTTTCTTCTTAAAATTCAATTAACTTAGATTTTAAGTTTTGTTAAATAATTAATTAATTTCTTTTTGTAAATAAAATTAATTAGTCTAATTAGAGTAATTACTAAACCCTTTTTCTCCATCAAAAATCCTAAAAATGATTTCCTTTTCTTCTTCATCTTTACATTTAGTGCATAATTATTATTGTAATTCATATTCAATGGTTTGTAATAGTAATTAGGGTTTTATTGTTTTCCTCCCCTCATTTACAAACTTGTATCCCCCATTCCCCAAAGCGTTGTTATAGCGTAGGACATTTAAATTCCGCAATTTATCGCTTTCCTTATTATTGCTAGTAGTTAGGTGTTGTACCCCAATTTTTGACCTAAGATCCCATCTTCATTTGCATTTTTATTCATGGAAATTAAGGGCACGAAATATGGCCAGTTTTAACCTCTCAAACTTCTCCACAACTTCCTCAGAGCACATACAAGATTCCCTCATCACTGGTTTACATGTGTATCAAGATGCTTTAGAATGCGAAGAAAGATCAGGCTATGTGAGATGATTTAAAGCACTTCGACTATTCAACTTTCAAGACAATGTTCAAAATTCAAATGTCAAGTTCAAATGCCATTCAAAGTTGCAATTGTTTTTCAAGAGAGTTTCGAATACAAGGGACAAAAATTTCATCCAATTTATAATGCTTGCAATTTGGAATTATGGAAATTTTGAATTCAAATATAACAAGTTACAAAGATCATTCAACATTATTCACCATTTCAAGTCATTCAAACTTATCAAAAGTACATTCAAGATTCATATAAGTTTTGCTCATGATTCAAATTCATTCTTAGTCCATTTAGATTCCATTCAATTTTATTCTTTCTAATGGCAAATTAGAAGATTCATGGTTCACTTGCCACATAAATGACAACTCTATAAAGACATTCATACCATTTCAAATTCATTACCTAAATTGTCTGATCAAGACAAGTTCATTCAAGGGTTCAAGATTTCCATTTTTTTCAAGATCACTGAACAATGTTAAAGCCATCAAAATTTCATCAAAGATACATTCATGACAAGAGTTATTCATCCATAAGTTAGGAAATTTACAAGGATCACTCATCACTTCAAGATACTATAAGAAGATTACACAAGAGTTTACATATATTCCTAAGTCCTAATCCTATCCATTGTCCATGATTAAACCTAAACATTTTTCTAATCTTCATGCCAAGTTTCCAAGTTTACTTAAATCTTCATGCTCCAAGTCTTGTAACTTTAAAGCTTGCAAATGAAAACTTGCCAAATCCTTGCTAAAACCTGCCCAAACCACTCAAAAACTATCCCTGCTATGCTGTTGTTCGGAACAGTCCAATGTTGTTGTCTACCTCTAAATTTCCCTGCAACAATAGACAAAAAACAATATCAAAACTTTCCCGAAATGTGCAAAAAACTGCTGCTGTATCCTGCTCCAATCTCTGCATCATCCATGCTGTATGCTGCTCAAAAATTCTGCACAAATAATGCCAAAAAGCTCATGTCAAACCTATCCAAAAACAGTCTAAACTTTCACAAAAATAGGAAATGCAAATCCTGCATCAAAAAGGAAAAGCCAGCATATCACATTTGGTCCAAGACTCACAAATTTTCCCTCCAAAAAAATTCATTCTGAAGGGGGGAAAACAAAGTAAAAAACCTGTAGAAATTTCTAATAACCCTCCTCCAAGTTTAGAACAGGCTTCAGGACATCACCTGCTGTAAAACAAGAAAAATACAAAAACCAAAAACATATACAGTAACTCATCCTCCTGCTTTTGTTTATTCACCACACTACCTTAACCCCCCTTCAATTTATTCATTCACGAAAAACTACAATAAACCAATACACTACCTCTCATCTAACCTCACTCAACTTTATAAAACCATTCATAGTAGACCCTCTAACAAAGAGATCTCAGCTTTCTCATTCCCTATTTCACCATCCCTGTCCATATTCTATTCTTCACCCTGCAGACCAAACCCTATACCCTTCGCCTCACAAAGAAATCAAACCCATTCACAAATCAAAACCTTCGTGGATAGACCCTACACTCAACATAATAACAACATAATGAAATGCAAATAGAAGCAAAAGAAGAAGCTTAAGTCGAAGATAGAAGACAAAGGGTTATAAAAAAAACGGAAACATGAAAGAGCATACCTTCACCGCATCATCTAAACTCCAACAATTCCCTCTCTCAATTCAATTCCCACATCCTGCTAACCATCCTCCAATGCCTTCTCCCCTCCAGTTCCACTAGTGCATAAGAAAGACAGTAAAAGGCGTTTTTGTGTTTACTATCATGCTCTCAATGCTATCACCGTCAACGATTCATCATCACTGTTTTTGTCCAGCTTCCACGATGCCATTAGCTTTCCGTCTACCTCAGCTCCTCGTCACTATATCGATCACACACAAAACATAGCAACAAGGTAACTTCTCTTAGAAATGATAATCTTACAATAAATGATTTGAGCAACATGGAACTTTTAAAATGGCAGAATGTTACCAATGTATGATGCATGCACAATGACTCCAAAATTGCACCCAGCTGGAGATCTCCTCTGATTTCGTTCCAGATCCGCAACTGATACAACAAACACCCTCTACCTTTGTTTCCAAACAATCTCCATCTTTCTTCCTTCCAGCACCGATCTCCCATTCTTTAACCCAAGCCCCGCGGTGGTAACTGGTAAAACAAGATATTCGGAGAAGAACAACCATGTCGAATCACTGTTTATCGAGTGCTCATTTCCTCACTATCGGAGCAACCCGCCTCCTTCCCTTGCAACGAAAACCACTTCTCTTCTCCCTCACTCTCTCTTCTCGCTCTCACAACCTCCACTCCTCAATCGTCGCCGTCTCTTCCAAAAAACAAAAACAAGGAAAAAATTACTCATGTTACAGAGGGGAACGAAGAGGAGGATGCATTTGAAATGCTGTTTAAGCAACTTGAAGAAGATCTCAAAAAACTCTATCACAACCACACCTTAATCCCAACTCACCATCGTTCATCGCCGTCGACAACCCTCTTTCACCGATTCCCTCCATAAAGCCTCCGTCAAAGTTGGTGACATCCTCACCGCCATGGCTGTCCCGGTCGAACTCTCCGACCGTGAATCGCTTGTCAAATCGGCTAGCACTTCGCTTAACGGCAAGGTTGTTAGTCAGTACTCTTAGCTTCTCGCTCCGATCACCGTCGACTCGGTTCTCTCTGTCGTGGATTCTGACAAACCTAACATGGTGGACCTCCGTGATGTCAAGATTGTGAAGAAGCTTGGTGGGACTGTTGATGATACTGAGCTTGTCAAGGGTTTGGTGTTTGATAAGAAAGTCAGCCATGCTGCTGGTGGACCTACACGTTTGGAGAATGCGAAGATTGCTGTAACTTCTTCTTCACCTTTTTTTAATTTAATGATTATTATTTTAATATGCTATTAGGTTATTGTTTGGGCTTTTCAATTTTTGAGCCCTTGTTTACTAACCAATATACCCCCAATACTATCAGCACACCCCATATTTTATGTTTTAACATTACCTTTTATTTTTTTATTTGATTTAGTTTTAATCTACTTACTTTAAAGTTTTGTTTTAGATTTAATCTAGGAGATTTAAAAATATATAGTAGATTAGATTTAATATTAGGTTTATTAGTTTAATCATATAAAATTACAAAAATTCCTTTTTAATTAGAACTAATTAGTTTAAAGTTAGAATTATTGTAGTAATTTTAGTTTTAATTTAGTTAAGTAAATTTTAGAATTTTTATTTAGTTTAGATTTAACTTAGTAATTTTATAATTTTAACTTAATTTACATTTTAATTTGGTTTAGATTCAATTTAATAATCTCAGAACTATCTTTATAACCTTAGAACTTGTAATTTAGTTTAGAATTATTTTAGCAAGTGTTCTTAAATTTTTAATTTAGCTCAGATAAGTTCTTTAGATAATTTGTTACATTCTCTTTTATTTGTTTTAAATATCTTTGTCATTTTAATTTCTCGATGCCTTTTGGTCGTTAATCTGTTTCGTTATATTTATTTTCTTGTGAATTTTGATTGCTTATATTTTGATGTCTATTTTATCTTGCTCGCTCGATTTAATCCAAGGGAAATGTTTTGTTAACTTCATAAGTAATACGATCGCGCGAACCCCTTCATTCATTTTTTTTAGTTACTATTTTGCTAAACTCAAGATAATTTTCCTAAAAGATTCAAATTTCAAACTCATACCTTTTAAGTCAAAACTTCGACACTAGGTCGTCGTATCTTCAAAAATCTCGTCCATACCCATCTTTTAACCAAATAAACCATTTTAATCAAACAAACAATTTTAACCGAAAAACAGATACTTCAAAAGGTTCCTGCGGAGTACCGCAGATGCATTGGGTGCTAATACCTTCCCATTGTATAACCAACCCCCGAACTCTCGATCTCTTTTAAAAACGCATTGTATTTTTATTACTTTTAAGTATTATTTTACATTGCATATTTTAGGGTTTTATTTCGCTCTTTTCCCTTTTCCCTTGGAAATAATAAAGCGCGGTGGCGACTCTTGCTTTTTGTGAGTCAAGTTAATTAATAGCTTGATCTCCGATTTTCACCGCTACAGAATTGGCGACTCTGCTGGGGATAGATTGACCTCTTGCTGGTCCATCCCTAAGTGGGTTAAGCCTAATTTGTTTTATCTATTTTATCATTATTTGATTGTTTGATTATATGTATATATTGTGATTATTTGGGTGTTGATAATATTTACAAAGGACAAGTCCTATACCCGGACTAAGTTACACTTAGGAATAGGACGGGCGGTATAGTCATGTTAACTTTGAGGGAGTAATCCCGAAGAAGGAGGCATGAGATCCCCCACTCAGTGGAAGGCCCTTTTGAACGTAATATTTGTTTACCGAGTAATCAAGAAGACATTATTATTTTCGACCTGGGAGCCAGAGAAGCTGGGAACCGTAGAACCCTAACCCATCTTGGCCTTTTAGGTGTAGCGCGGAGATTATAACGGAGTAATCCGGAAGTAATTGTTACGCGATGCTACGCTCGGATGAGTTTCTCTTGAGAATATTGCTGATTATTGAGTAATCAAGACGTTGGTAATATCCGAAGGAGGAATGTAGACTCCGGGAACTCTTAGAACCTTGTTCTACAGGTGTGATTAAACCGTTAGTACATACCTTGGGGGTGTTCCTTACCTTGACTCCATGCTCGTGATGTTGAACCTTTCGACTTTATTTGTGACCTTGCTTGTGGTTGTTGCATAGCCATGCATTCATGCATCCATAAAACCCTTTTCACTTGACTTTGAAGGAATTTGGAGGTCTTTCTTTGTAAACATCACATGTTTCGTCAAGCTCAATGGATATTGGGTGTTGATAGGGCGAAAACCCTAATCCACCAAAATGGATGATTGATCTTGATGATAACTTGATCAATGTTTGGAGCCAATTTAAAATTCATCTTCTATCTTCATACTTTGATGTTTACAACTTAATATCTTGAGTTCCTTGAAAGTCAAATAAAAACTCTCTTTTGCATATCATACATCATTCTACATTTTTTTTGTTTCACTGTCAGAGGTCTTTTTCCGAGTCTTATTTTTCCTTTGGTCTCACCAGTACAACACTCGCGCTAAGAGAACAATGGAGAATATCAAGCAAGAGATTTCTGAACTCCGCAGAGAGGTGACTAATTTGAAAGCTAGTATGGAGCACTTAACTGGTTTGGTTGAAATTCTGGTTGCCGCCTAAGTCAATCCTTCTAGGATGGAGGAAGCGATGATAAAAGTATTCACTGAAACTCTAAAATCATTCTCTCATGAGAAGGTGATGGTTAATGCACCTAATGACTTTCCTGACAAGGTGAATGTGGGAGTGCGTCTAGAAGAAGATGCCTGAAAGGGATGTTCATATGAAGATGGTGGCTCAGCTAATGGTGTGAGGAAGTTTGATAATAACTTTTCCAAGAAGAGAACCAGAGGAAGAAATAATCATTGTCAGAATCATCATGTTTCTCCTATTCATCAACAGAATCAGCAAGTTCCTAATCAGAGGAAAACTCAATTTGATCCAATTCCAATTACCTATACAGAGTTGTTCCCTATCCTGATGCAGAGGAATTTGGTTCAGACCCGACCTCCATCGAAGGTTCCTGAGAAGATACATTGGTACTACAAAGCTGATTTGACTTGTACCTTTCATCAAGGTGTTCCTGGGCATGACTTGGAGGGTTGCTTTGCTTTGAAGATTGAGGTTCAGAAGTTGGTCAGAAGTGGTATCTTGTCATTCAAGAACGTTGGTTTTGAAGTTCAAATCAAGCACATGCCGAAGAGTAAACACGATTGACGGTCACTTTGAGTTTTGAAGGATGGTTTCGGTGATTCAAGTCCAGATGGAAAGCCTTCCCCGATCATTAACTTATTTCTGCTTTTTGTAATTTTCTTGTTTATCAAAACATTGTTTGCATGTAAGAACTTGTTTGCATCTGTATGATTATCTTAATACAATGAGTATGTTTGTCTTGAAGAAATTCATTCATTTCACTCATATTTGTTTTCAAATTTTAAATTTATTTTGGCACTATGATACCAAATTGTTGCTCATTCTCTTGCCTAGGCAGAGATTGAAGGGAGGATGATGATCTAAAAAACACAAAATCTCTGTTTGTTTGCTTTTGGATAAAATCTTGCTGATGATGTACAGGCATTGTTTCAAATCCCTAAACACCGGAGATATAAGGAAGATAATCCCTTGCTAACCCCTTTTGAGCCTTTGAAGTAGAAGTTTCTTTTCTATACGAAAAAACCTTGAATTTTAACCTGGGGCAGGGTAGTTTTTAGTTAATCTGACTGAGTGTTCAAAATTCAGAAGGAATATGTTTTTTGAAGAGAAACTACGAGGGCTATCTTTCATGTATAATGAAGCCAGAAGATGTGGAATCATAATGTTATCCCTCATTCATCAAGAAACGAGGCAATCGCAGTCCTCTCAACAAGCAAAGACAAGCTAATGTCACACATTTTGTTCAAAAAGTCAAAAATCGAGAAAAAAGAAAAAGCCTGCTAAGTCAAAAAAAACATGAAAACGTGTGACTTAGGTAAAATTAAGGCATCCCACTGGACTATCAATTCAAAAGAATTAGTTCAGGCAAAAGTTAGGGAAAATAAAAATTGCAAAGAAAGGACTACAAAGAAAAGTCCTCAGCAAAGAACAAATTGGTGACTACAAAGACATGAGGGTGGTTTCTACTCCGAAAACCTCGTCGTTTCCTTAACTGTCACAAAATCCTTTTGAGAGATGAATGTTCATGTTGAATTAACTGAACATAGGATTGGAGAACATCATGAAGGGGGTGGGCACCAAATATTTTGAGCCTTAAAATCTTTTTCTAAAAAACCATGAACCAGACCACGTTACAACCTTCAAAAGTCCTAATTGAAGCAAGGTTATCTTAAAAGCATACTTCAATGAGATAGTGTTCCTGACTCCCATGAATGTTCTAAATGGTTATGTTGGTATCATATGTTTTTCTTATACAAAAATAAATGGTGCTTTAGCTCACAAAATTTGTGCGATATCTTTCAAAATCTTCAAGACTTACATAACTGTTGCATTAGAACTTTCATTCTCATTGTAAACTTTTTCTAACTGCAAAACATTTATTTGATATCAAGGAAGCTCACATATAAGCACCAGTGATGAGTTTATTCTTTTAAGGCCTGAAACTATGTTGAGTAATTGGCGAATCATTTCAAAAAATCATATCCATGGGCATGTCACATGAAGACCTTAAGCACAGACATGTTGTTTCTCCCAGTTAATGCTTTTCCCGACTTGTTTGCTCGTTTGGGGCAAAAATTCGAAGACTTTGTTGTGCCGACTACAGTCAATCTGGGGCAATCACGTAGAGATTTGATGAATCTCTCTAAGAGTTTGAAGACACCAGAGCATGGTGAATGCCAGGTCTTTTGTAAAATCCTCTTGAGAGGATTTCTCCTCATCAACCCTATAGCTTGGGGAATTTTAGAAGTGAAGTTATTCGCAAGAATTGTCGTGCAACATGCAGCTCATCAGCAGTAAACTTGGGGCGTCCAAAATTAGTCCCAGGGGCAATCCAGATTTGTTAAGATATGCGATATGTTTTGCACACAGTATCAGAGGGTGGTGTTCCCAGTATCTCCAGCTAAGCATGATTTTTTCCAGTTGAAACATTGTTTGTGTTGTTATCCTTTCAATGGATTGTTGACGATAGAAGACTGGACTTTGGGTTTTCTACCAAAAATATCTCCCTCTTCATAGATATTTAAGCCTTGTAAAAGGACCTTGCTCCAATGATGGCCTGTGTTTTATCTCCAGTAATGTTCCCATCCTGTTGAGATTAGCCGAGTGTTGGGTTGTGCTATGATGTCTTATCATCTCCAGTTTATCTTGTCTATTTGTTTTGTCAGCACATATATGGCATTCATTTATTCATTCACACTTGCATCATGCATGCACAGTTGTATTTGTTGATGTCGTTGGGTTCGTATACCTTGGTTATGTCAATTCAAATAGCATATTTGATCTTTCCAAATAGAGTGTCAACTTAAGCAGAAAGTGCGCCTCTTTTCTAATTCCCCACTGAGTTAACTCTCGTGGAAGAATCTTGCTTTAGCTTTCCTTTTCCATCTCTGGATAGGATAAATCCCCATTTGAGTTATTTCCTCATTGGGTGGAGTCTTGTTTGACTATTTTCTCTCCAGTTTATTCCTGGATTGAGCTTTGTCTCTTGTGAACGATACCCTGTGGATCTCTCTAGGCTGTGAAACCTAGATGGAGAGTGCATTTATTTCGCAACGTAAATACTTGGTCTCCTCAAGAAGGATTTATTCATGGTTCCCCATTGTAGATGAACTTTATTCCCCAGCAGTGTTATCACAACCTTCTTCTGGAATATCGACATGACAACAAGCGACTGACTCTTTATTTGAGCAGTTTGATTATTTCGGATTTCTCTACGACAAATGGCGGTCTCTTCATGAGCAGTTTGTCCATCCTCGATGAAATTATTGATTCTCACCTCCAGCAATATCTTCATGATATTTTATGGGTATCTTTTTGGGAAACAGCAAGCGGCAGTCTCTTCATGGACAACTTGTATGTTATCAACACTTTCAAAAACAGCAAGCGACAGTCTCTTCATGGACAACTTGTATGTTATCAACACTTTTAAAAAAAACAGCAAGCGGCAGTCTCTTCATGGACAACTTGTATGTTATCAACACTTTTAAAAACAGCAAGCGGCAGTCTCTTCATGGACAACTTGTATGTTATCAACACTTTTTGAAAACGGCAAGTGGCGGTCTCTTCATGAGCAGCTTGTACGGAAAATGGCAAGTGGCAGCTTCTTCATGAGCAGCTTGTACGTTAGTATTTTGGAAGACAACAAGTGGCAGCTTATCTATTTGAGCAACTTGTGTGTTATTGTTCCCTTGAAGACAGCAAGTGGCAGCTTCTTTATGAGCAGCTTGTGGGTTTTGGCAACAAGTGGCGGACTCTTCATGAGCAGCTTGTGTGCTTTAATATTCTTTGAAGACAGCAAGCGGCGGTCTCTTCATGAGCAGCTTGTGTGCTTTAATATTCTTTGAAGACAGCAAGTGGCGGTCTCTTCATGAGCAGCTTGTATGTTATTGACACCTTTGAAAGGAAGCAAGTGGCGGCCTCTTTATTTGAGCAGCTTGTGTATCCCCAACAATAATGTCTACTCAGCAAATGGCATCCCTTTCGGAAAAGTCCCGTGGGGAAGTTTGTTATTTTATCCTTTTCAAGCGATATCTTGGTTAGAGAGGAAATGTGTTACCGTTCTTGGTAAAATTCAGAAATCAGATATGTTTATCTCCAGCCGCAGTGCTGATGTCAATCGTTTTCCAGTCACAGTGCTGATGTCAATCATTTTCCAGCCACAGTACTGATGTAAATCATTACCTTTTCCAGTCTCAATACTGATGTAAATCATTCAAGAGTCTCTCATTTGAAGTCTATGACTTTGTTTCCCCAGTGGAGTTACAACCTCTTCCTCTGTGGGATTACTGTATAATGTGCTTGGTTTCTCCAGCATAGTCTGTCTCATATGGCGTCATTCCCCATAAAATTCAGAGCATTACATTCATATCATATCATGAACATAATCGCGGTATCTTAAGGCCAAAAATTGTGTATTCTATATTTAAGTCCCTTCAATCTCGTCGAAATGAATATCCCAATCTTCATATCTCCAGATAGAAGAAACTTAAATAGGGGCAGCTGTTGTACCCCAATTTTTGACCTAAGATCCCATCTTCATTTGCATTTTTATTCATGGAAATTAAGGGCACGAAATATGGCCAGTTTTAACCTCTCAAACTTCTCCACAACTTCCTCAGAGCACATACAAGATTCCCTCATCACTGGTTTACATGTGTATCAAGATGCTTTAGAATGCGAAGAAAGATCAGGCTATGTGAGATGATTTAAAGCACTTCGACTATTCAACTTTCAAGACAATGTTCAAAATTCAAATGTCAAGTTCAAATGCCATTCAAAGTTGCAATTGTTTTTCAAGAGAGTTTCGAATACAAGGGACAAAAATTTCATCCAATTTATAATGCTTGCAATTTGGAATTATGGAAATTTTGAATTCAAATATAACAAGTTACAAAGATCATTCAACATTATTCACCATTTCAAGTCATTCAAACTTATCAAAAGTACATTCAAGATTCATATAAGTTTTGCTCATGATTCAAATTCATTCTTAGTCCATTTAGATTCCATTCAATTTTATTCTTTCTAATGGCAAATTAGAAGATTCATGGTTCACTTGCCACATAAATGACAACTCTATAAAGACATTCATACCATTTCAAATTCATTACCTAAATTGTCTGATCAAGACAAGTTCATTCAAGGGTTCAAGATTTCCATTTTTTTCAAGATCACTGAACAATGTTAAAGCCATCAAAATTTCATCAAAGATACATTCATGACAAGAGTTATTCATCCATAAGTTATGAAATTTACAAGGATCACTCATCACTTCAAGATACTATAAGAAGATTACACAAGAGTTTACATATATTCCTAAGTCCTAATCCTATCCATTGTCCATGATTAAACCTAAACATTTTTCTAATCTTCATGCCAAGTTTCCAAGTTTACTTAAATCTTCATGCTCCAAGTCTTGTAACTTTAAAGCTTGCAAATGAAAACTTGCCAAATCCTTGCTAAAACCTGCCCAAACCACTCAAAAACTATCCCTGCTATGCTGTTGTTCGGAACAGTCCAATGCTGCTGTCTACCTCTAAATTTCCCTGCAACAATAGACAAAAAACAATATCAAAACTTTCCCGAAATGTGCAAAAAACTGCTGCTGTATCCTGCTCCAATCTCTGCATCATCCATGCTGTATGCTGCTCAAACATTCTGCACAAATAATGCCAAAAAGCTCCTGTCAAACCTATCCAAAAATAGTCTAAACTTTCACAAAAATAGGAAATGCAAATCCTGCATCAAAAAGGAAAAGCCAGCATATCACATTTGGTCCAAGACTCACAAATTTTCCCTCCAAAAAAATTCATTCTGAAGGGGGGAAAACAAAGTAAAAAACCTGTAGAAATTTCTAATAACCCTCCTCCAAGTTTAGAACAGGCTTCAGGACATCACCTGCTGTAAAACAAAAAAAATACAAAAACCAAAAACATATACAGTAACTCATCCTCCTGCTTTTGTTTATTCACCACACTACCTTAACCCCCCTTCAATTTATTCATTCACGAAAAACTACAATAAACCAATACACTACCTCTCATCTAACCTCACTCAACTTTATAAAACCATTCATAGTAGACCCTCTAACAAAGAGATCTCATCTTTCTCATTCCCTATTTCACCATCCCTGTCCATATTCTATTCTTCACCCTGCAGACCAAACCCTATACCCTTCGCCTCACAAAGAAATCAAACCCATTCACAAATCAAAACCTTCGTGGATAGACCCTACACTCAACATAATAACAACATAATGAAATGCAAATAGAAGCAAAAGAAGAAGCTTAAGTCGAAGATAGAAGACAAAGGGTTATAAAAAAAAACGGAAACATGAAAGAGCATACCTTCACCGCATCATCTAAACTCCAACAATTCCCTCTCTCAATTCAATTCCCACAGCCTGCTAACCATCCTCCAATGCCTTCTCCCCTCCAGTTCCACTAGTGCATAAGAAAGACAGTAAAAGGCGTTTTTGTGTTTACTATCATGCTCTCAATGCTATCACCGTCAACGATTCATCATCACTGTTTTTGTCCAGCTTCCACGATGCCATTAGCTTTCGTCTACCTCAGCTCCTCGTCACTATATCGATCACACACAAAACATAGCAACAAGGTAACTTCTCTTAGAAATGATAATATTACAATAAATGATTTGAGCAACATGGAACTTTTAAAATGGCAGAATGTTACCAATGTATGATGCACGCGCAATGACTCCAAAATTGCACCCAACTGGAGATCTCCTCTGATTTCGTTCCAGATCCGCAACTGATACAACAAACACCCTCTACCTTTGTTTCCAAACAATCTCCATCTTTCTTCCTTCCAGCACCGATCTCCCATTCTTTAACCCAAGCCCCGCGGTGGTAACTGGTAAAACAAGATATTCGGAGAAGAACAGCCATGTCGAATCACTGTTTATCGAGTGCTCATTTCCTCACTATCAGAGCAACCCGCCTCCTTCCCTTGCAACGAAAACCACTTCTCTTCTCCCTCACTCTCTCTTCTCGCTCTCACAACCTCCACTCCTCAATCGTCGCCGTCTCTTCCAAAAAACAAAAACAAGGAAAAAATTACTCATGTTACAGAGGGGAACGAAGAGGAGGATGCATTTGAAATGCTGTTTAAGCAACTTGAAGAAGATCTCAAAAAACTCTATCACAACCACACCTTAATCCCAACTCACCATCGTTCATCGCCGTCGACAACCCTCTTTCACCGATTCCCTCCATAAAGCCTCCATCAAAGTTGGTGACATCCTCACCGCCATGGCTGTCCCGGTCGAACTCTCCGACCGTGAATCACTTGTCAAATCGGCTAGCACTTCGCTTAACGACAAGGTTGTTAGTCAGTACTCTTTGCTTCTCGCACCGATCGCCGTCGACTCGATTCTCTCTGTCGTGGATTCTGACAAACCTAACATGGTGGACCTCCGTGATGTCAAGATTGTGAAGAAGCTTGGTGGGACTGTTGATGATACTGAGCTTGTCAAGGGTTTGGTGTTTGATAAGAAAGTCAGCCATGCTGCTGGTGGACCTACACGTTTGGAGAATGCGAAGATTGATGTAACTTCTTCTTCACCTTTTTTTAATTTAATGATTATTATTTTAATATGCTATTAGGTTATTGTTTGGGCTTTTCAATTTTTGAGCCCTTGTTTACTAACCAATATACCCCCAATACTATCAGCACACCCCATATTTTATGTTTTAACATTACCTTTTATTTTTTTATTTGATTTAGTTTTAATCTACTTACTTTAAAGTTTTGTTTTAGATTTAATCTAGGAGATTTAAAAATATATAGTAGATTAGATTTAATATTAGGTTTATTAGTTTAATCATATAAAATTACAAAAATTCCTTTTTAATTAGAACTAATTAGTTTAAAGTTAGAATTATTGTAGTAATTTTAGTTTTAATTTAGTTAAGTAAATTTTAGAATTTTTATTTAGTTTAGATTTAACTTAGTAATTTTATAATTTTAACTTAATTTACATTTTAATTTGGTTTAGATTCAATTTAATAATCTCAGAACTATCTTTATAACCTTAGAAACTTGTAATTTAGTTTAGAATTATTTTAGCAAGTGTTCTTAAATTTTTAATTTAGCTCAGATAAGTTCTTTAGATGATTTGTTACATTCTCTTTTATTTGTTTTAAATATCTTTGTCATTTTAATTTCTCGATGCCTTTTGGTCGTTAATCTGTTTCGTTATATTTATTTTCTTGTGAATTTTGATTGCTTATATTTTGATGTCTATTTTATCTTGCTCGCTCGATTTAATCCAAGGGAAATGTTTTGTTAACTTCATAAGTAATACGATCGCGCGAACCCCTTCATTCATTTTTTTTTAGTTACTATTTTGCTAAACTCAAGATAATTTTCCTAAAAGATTCAAATTTCAAACTCACACCTTTTAAGTCAAAACTTCGACACTAGGTCGTCGTATCTTCAAAAATCTCGTCCATACCCATCTTTTAACCAAATAAACCATTTTAATCAAACAAACAATTTTAACCGAAAAACAGATACTTCAAAAGGTTCCTGCGGAGTACCGCAGATGCATTGGGTGCTAATACCTTCCCATTGTATAACCAACCCTCGAACTCTCGATCTCTTTTAAAAACGCATTGTATTTTTATTACTTTTAAGTATTATTTTACATTGCATATTTTAGGGTTTTATTTCGCTCTTTTCCCTTTTCCCTTGGAAATAATAAAGCGCGGTGGCGACTCTTGCTTTTTGTGAGTCAAGTTAATTAATAGCTTGATCTCCGATTTTCACCGCTACATTAGGGTTTGCATGACAAGACTAAAATCAAACCTTAGCAAAACCCTAATTCAAAAGATAAAATACTTGAAAACAAAACACTTTGCACACATACACCTCTATAGTAACTCACACTTGTTGCCTCAGATTTAAACAGTCATGTCCCTCGAACGTGAGATGTTTTAGCAAAAGACCCTCGATTAGAAGATCGTAGTCCCTCGATGACCCTTCAATATTGCCTTCAGTAAATGATCTTAGTCCCTTACGACAATGACTAAAACATCTTACAAATTGCCTTCTATGACTATACGATGACCCACACCCGTCCCTCACATTCAATGATATGGCTCCCTACCAACTAATGGTAGACAAACACTATCTAAAGGAAGAGGAAAAGAACAAATACTTTTTGAGTAGGTAGATTGCTCGTAATTGCTTGCTCACAAACTAAAATAATTTCCACATTTCACACTTTCAAACAAACATCTTTTCAAACACTCTCTTTCCAAACAAATATTTTCGAAATAAACACTTTGTATACATTCTCAATGATACGAGAGTCATTACAAAGTTTTCCGTACTAAGGTGTTTTCAAAGTATTTCCAAACAAACATTTTGTATACATTCTCAACGATACGAGAATCATTACAAAATTACCATTTTTAAAACATCTTCAAAACATCTTTTCAACTTACACAAACATAAAGCATTTCAAAGTGAGATAGAAATTAAGAGCCCGTAGATAACTACGGATGAAAAGGGTGCTAACACCTACCCTTTTCATAACCTACCCCCCGAACTCAATAAAATAACTCAAAAGGTCTTTCCTATTCTTTTCACCCTTCCTTTATTAGATAAAAGAAAAGTTTGTGGCGACTCTTACTATCTGCAACATTTGCGATAAAATGCAAAACCAGTAAAGTCAATTCTCCCGTCGTATCACATACACATTATGGACGGGGAATTAGGAAGTTGGGAAATAGATCTAGTCAATGGGCAATCAAACTAAAGGAATAACAACTCTAAAGGATAATGTGCAGCCCTCTCGTCCTTGCCCCACGGACTTCCTCAATTATCACGTTACACATTCCCTCAAGCACGAGGGCTTGTAAAGCCTGAATTATTTTAACCATGTTGTAATACGGTGGAAGAACTGACTGTTATACTGGTTTTACGTTTATATTTGCAAATGTTACAGTAAGCAAGAGTCACCATCGAATTTTCTTTTATCCAACAAAGGAAAGGGTGAAAAGAACAGAAAAAGACCTTTCGAGATTATTTCTGAGTAAGGGGGTAGATTATGGAAAGGGAAGGTATTAGCACCCTTTCCATCCGTAGTTATATACGGGCTCTTAGATGCTATCTCATTTGAAAATACCTTGTGTTTGTGTGTTTGAAAAAAGTATTTGAAAAAGATGCCTTAGTGCGGAAAACTTTGTAATATTTCTCGTATCATGGAGAACGTATACAAAGTATCTTTGAAAATATTTTTTATAAAAGAGTGTATGTGTGGAAATTATTTTATTTGAGAAAGCATTTAAGAACTATCTACCTACTCGAAAAGGTTTGTTCTTTTCCTATTTTCCTTTAGACAATGCTATCCTACTATTAGTGAGTAGGTAGCTCCATTGTTGGATGTTTGAAGGACAATCAAAGGATCATCGTTAAGTCACAAAGGCAACTGGGCAAGATACTTTAGTAACCACCCTAGGGTTTTAAGATCATACCGAGGCAACATCGAGAGGGTCATTTTTTATATCTTTAAACCGGAGCATAGCCACTAAAATCTCTCACATTTCGAGAGTTGTGACCGTTTTAATCCGAAGGCAACTGAGGTGGGAGTACCCTAGAGGTGCGCATGTGCAAGTGCATTGTGTTTCAGTTATTCAACGTTGCGTTAGGTTTGCTAGAGTTTTGTTTTTAATTCTTGTCATGCAATCCTATTACCATACATCTAAGCAGTTAATATATGTATAGGAATTTAAAGTGCGGAATTTAAACCTAGTTATTACATGGCTTCGGGGAGGGGGATTTACAAGCCCAAAAATTGGGGAAATAAAAAGCAGTAAATAAAGTCCTAGTTTTAACTATTACAACCCATAGTCAGATACAATAATATAAAAATGATAATGCGAAAACATTAAACGTGCGCAAATTAGAGAGGACGTTTGAAACTCTAAAAAGTTCTAAGTAAAAAAAAATTGTTGTTTTGTTTATTTTAAGGAAAAAGTTTAAGTAAAAATTAATTAACTAACTAGATCTAATCTTAAGAAAAAGATTAATTATTAATGAAAATTAAAATTAATAAAAGGAAACTAATTCTATATTTTTTGTATTTTTTATTATGAAAAAGAATTGAAATTAATTAAATCCTAAGTCTATTGATTAAAAAAAGTTAAGATAATTAATTAATTACTTTACAAAATTAATTTTAATTGAGAAAATCCTAAATCTATTTTTTTGTGATTTTCATATTTGTTTTTTCTGATTAAATAAATAAAAAAGAAATTAAAATAAATAAATAGATCAAAGAAAGGAATGTGCCTGATGTAAAAACGAACTGGGGGGTGCAAGTTGGAAAACGTGAGGCCCAAATCTAGGGAGGCCCAGACTTGAGCTGATTCCAGTGAGGGAGACCCCTTGAAGGTCCATGATGAGGCTGCACGTTTGAGGCACTTGGATCTGATTGCATTGACCTCTGATGGTGTAGATTTGATGGCATATGGTACGCGTGTATGGCATGGCTGCATTGGGTCTGCACATAATAAATGGAAAAATAATATGCAAACGGCAGGGATCGAACCCCTGCCCTTGCACACACCCAACGCTTTAACATACACACACACATCCAACCGTTGAGACGACTTTACATCCGGGAATATAATCACAACGATAAATATATAATACAAAACAAGTTAAATGATGAGTTGTCAAACGTGCGCGCTCTAGTGGGGTCTAGATATTTTGAATCAACCAATCACGAAATGGCACGCCAGGCTATCGGAGTCAAACGATTAGGCCAGGCCGGAGTTAAACCTCCGGTTATCTTCTCTGATGGCCTCAAAACCCAAATCCTGCGAAAATCAATGAAAACAGACAAAAAGATAACCCTACTAGACTAATTAGACCCTTG